TCTGATATGCTGCAACCCGTTAACCCGAATTTCGACGATGTCATCTTTGTGTTGAAGCAACTGAAGGAATTTTTGAACATTTATTATAAATTGAGCTAATCAGTTGCGCATTTTTGTTCCGTTCTTTTATTCATTGTTTTTTGAAGATTAAAATATATATGTGTAATTGAAATAAATTTAATTTTTCCACTTATATATTTGTTTTTTATTAAAATCATAAAATTCCTATTTTGTGCCCTGTAGTATTATAACAAAGCGTCGTAGAGAAAAATATTATTAACAAAATATGTTTGTTCTTATGTCCTCTATTTCCCCTCAAAGTTTGTCGGTCTAATTTTTTTACACCCTATATATACGCACCCACCGCGAGTCCGCCCTGTCGAGCGGGCGAGCGTGCTTGCTGGCGAGTAGTGTTGTGTATGTGTATGCGCGCGCATGCGTGCGTATGCAATACATTGTCATGAATTATATAACTTAACCTAAACTACCCTAAACTGTTATGTCACTCGTAACAATGTGTTACGTTCAGTTGCATACGCACGCACGTATACACACATACGAGGGTGGTCTGAAAAGTTTCCGACCTAACAAAGATACAAGTCATTTTTTCTGAAAATTGTTTTTTATTTTTCAACATAGTCTCCTTGTAAATCTACACACTTCTCTCAGCGATGCTCCCATCTCTGTAACCCGTCGAAATAGTACTCGGCGTTTTTCTCTGCAAAATAATTGTTCACGAAGGTGATTGCCTCTTCATTTGACGAAAATCTCTGTCCTCCGAGCGCAATTTTTAGATGAGGGAACAAAAAGAAGTCGCTTGGGGCTAGATCTGGTGAGTAAGGTGGATGGTCAAGCAGTTCAAACCGTAATTCGTGGATTTTCGCCATGGCAACCGCTGAGGTGTGAGACGGTGCGTTGTCTTGGTGAAACAGGATTTTCTTTTTCTGCAAATGTGGCCGTTTTCCCGCAAGTTCTGCCTTCAGCTTGTCAAGTAATGATGCGTAGTATGCTCCTGTAATGGTTTTTCCTTTTTGAAGATAATCGAT